TATTGAAGCAGAAGGTAAAGACATAATGATATCAATGAGATTTCCCTCAAGCTTGCTTCCGTATGTTTGTATACTCAGATATAAGTGATCAATGTTATTTGAGTTTAAGAAAGTGGGTTATGGTCCAACACGACTTCTGCACTCTTATTATTTTTCTCTAGACTCTTTTGTATATGTCACAATGGATCACACTCCTATGCACTGGCCTTTTTCTTCTCGGTTTTTGGGAGTGAACTTTCCAAAAGATCATTTTGTGAAGGGTAAACGGTAAATGACAGGATTAAATTTTTCTAGTTTAAAGTAGTCATATGCTAATTTTATTCTACGAAAATAGAATGAGACGTTCGGTGAGTGACTTTGCTAGTGTTGTGGGTCGAGCTCTGATTGCCGCATCGAACCAAGCGATTCCGAATTGTACATGGGCCCCGTCACTGGAGCAAACCCTCCACCGGTTGGCTTGCCGGGACTCGTTGAGTCCAGCACTCGTGTCCCGAGTCATCGACCCTTTCCTCCTTAATCACCATTCCCTCGCTTTGGGCTTCTTCAACTGGGCATCCCAGCAGCCGGGATTCTGTCACACTTCCACCACCTACCAAGCCATCCTCAAATCCCTCTCCCTTTCCCGCCAATACAATGCCATTGAGAAGCTATTCAAGGAAGTCAAGGCCCACAGAATTCACCTTTCTCCCGACGTTTATGATTCCTTAATTAGTTCGTTAATCAGTGGAAAGAAAACCCATTTGGCGTTCTTGGTGTTCGCTGAAGTTAGTTTGTTAACTTCTGAGATTGGATCCAAAACTTGTAATTCACTTCTTGCTGCTCTGTCGTCTGATGGGAATGTACTAGGCGCCCGTAAGGTGTTTGATGAAATGATTAGTAGAGGTGTTAGATTGACTACGCTTGGGTTTGGGGTGTTCATATGGATGTTTTGCCGAAATAATGAATTCAGTGAAACTTTAAGTTTGTTGGACAAAGTTAGAGAGGTTGATTTTTCGGGAACTAATGGGTCGGTTATTGCAGTTTTGGTGGCTCATGGGTTGTGTTCGGAAGGTCGGTTGAGAGATGCCATATACTCGTTGGAAGAGTTGAGGAAAAGAGAGTGTAAGCCTGATTTTATGGCATATAGAGTCGTTGCAGAAACAATGCGCATGATGAGAAGGGTGGTTGATGTGGAGATGGTGCTAAAGAAGAAGAGAAAGCTGGGGGTAGCTCCAAGAACTAATGATTATAGGGAGTTCATTCACGAGTTGATTTCTGAGAGGCTGATATGTGAAGCAAAAGAACTGGGTGAAGTGATAGTGAGTGGAAATTTTCCAATAGAGGATGATGTTCTCAATGTGTTGATAGGATCTGTGTCTAGTATAGATCCTGCTCGTGCAGTGTTGTTCTTGAAGTTCATGCTTGGGACTGAAAGATACCCGACACTACTTACTTTGTCCAATTTGAGTGGGAATCTTTGTAAATATGGAAAAACTGATGAATTAGTAGAAGTTTACCAAGTTTTGTCCGCCAAAGACTACTTCAAGGACTTGGAGAGTTACAATATGATGGTTTCATTCTTGTGCAAGGCTGGGAAAGTGAAAGAAACTTATCAGGTTCTTCAGGAAATGAAGAAGAAAGGGTTGAGTCCAGATGTTTCTTCTTACAATTATCTTCTGGAAGCTTGCTGCAGGGAAGATCTTGTGCGGCCAGCTAAACGGCTATGGGATGAGATGTTTTCAAATGGTTGTTCTGGAAATCTGAAGAGCTACAACATACTTATCCAAAGATTATCAGAAATAGGTCAGGTTGAAGATGCTCACCGCCTGTTTTGCCACATGACGGAGAAAGGGTTGGGACCTGATGCAACAACATATATATCCCTCCTTGAAGGCTTCTGCCAGGCCAAAAATCTTGAAATGGCTCTCAAAGTCTTCAACCAGTCTGTTGAACATGATGTAATGCTTGCGAACACCATATTGAGTACATTCACTCTGTGCCTTTGTAAAGAAGGTACTCATAATCACCAGGTGTTAACATTCACAGTGTATTGTCTCCTGCAATATCTTAAATTTTTGCACTATCATTCTTCTATGATGTGAACGTTCAACAAATATTTGTGATCCTTGCAGGGTTTTTTCTTGCTGCTTCTAAGTTACTGCACGATCGAACTTCTGATATAGGATATACAGAGTCTCATATGACTTTGCTGAAATATTTAGCTGATGCTGGAGAGTTTTCATTGGTTGTTGAACACATAAAATGGGTTGCAGAGAAATCGCATGTACTGTTGCATGCTATTCTAAATGAAGTATCAGTGGCACTTTCATCTTCATCAAAACCGGATGCAATGCTGCAACTGTTTCAGTCACTGGCGGAAAATGGCAAAATTCCTGAAAATCTGCTTAGCAGATGATTTACCACTTGTAAAGCTTGGATCTTTGTTGCATTCAGAATGATCTTACACTAATTTTGGCACTTGGAGGACAACAATCCTTGTTCAACCCTCAATACATCTATACACAAAATGATCCACTTCTGATCTCACCGATAACATTTTTCACTTGATAACGTTGTCATTTTCAGGGGGTCGAACTATGATGAGGTTAATTTTTGTTGTCCGGCATTTGTCAGTGAAGAGAAAACACCAATACAATATGAAGGATCATGTTTTCCAGCTTTGGCCTAGAGTTATTCACTAATGCCAGTTTTACAATTCAAGGATCGTGCTATTCATGACTCCAGTTGATAGTGCAACTCTCCTGTACCAGTAACTGTACGTAACTGTCATTAAATGTTTGTTACTAACATATTCTTACTCATTGGAAAGTTTTCTTTGTTGTGTTATTGACCATGCCTTGTTCTTCTTCATCTTTAACATGTCCAGTTCCAGTTAATTAAAGTCATCATATCTCTATAATATGCATTATATTCATAGTAGATTATGATATTTAAATTCTAACTCAAAACAAACGGTTCATTATTTCAATAATCAAGTTTTAGAATTTAAATTCAAGAAATCATAATCCAATAATTTTAAGCTACCGAATGTTGTTCTCAACCAGTGATGTATGTTGTCCCGAGTTATGAATTAGAACGACATGCAATTCTTTGTCTAAATTCACAATTGGGCACGGCATTTGTTACGGGACTTAAGGAGTCTTCCACCTCATCCATTTAGCTCGTTCGCCATGTGTTGCACGAACTGATTTCGTGCTGCCATGTGGCAGACGAACTGAAGTAGGTGGCCCTCCACCTTGTTCACCCAGTTCATCCGCCACGTGTGAGCGAACTGATTCGCGTTGCTACGGTTACGTGGCTGACGAATCGAACTCGTAGGGATTGAATCGAATCCAATAGCCCGAACTGAAACGCTGCTGCTCACTTCGAAGACGATCCGAACTCATCCGCCACACACGACGGATGCAATGGCCTACATTCTGCATTCGCCACACCTCATACTCACTTCCCCACGCCTGCCAAGATCTTTTCTAAGAAAATCTCCCAAAAATCAAATTCTTAATCTGGTTGATGGGACGTGTGACAGACTCCAAACGGTCAATTCACACTGCTATGTCAGGAAACATTTAATACTCACCAACCTATGGATGGACAGATTGACGTCTATGAAGGGATGATCTGTCTGGGATCCAAAGCCAAGTGTCCCTATATCCAACGGTTCTCCTCTGACTTCCTCTTAGTATAAGTACTCCCTCATTAAGGTAAGAGGGAGATTCTCTCTAATTCCTAACCTATAAAAATTTTTAACTCTCAAGAACACGCACATATACACTCTAAGCCACGTTTTGGTGACCACCTCACCACTGGACATCGTCACTTTTCAATTACGAAATCACTAACTTTGATTGTCGAAGTGCTGACGGCACTTTCACCTCCACCGAAAAAGGCCACAAGTAGCTAACGGTGTTTTACCGTGCGCATGGAGGAACTTACGTGAAGGATTATTTTGTTGGCCACGTGTTTGACTATTTTTCGAGGTCAACAACATTTACAAGAATATAACCGTTTGATGAGGACTAAATCAGATTTTTAATAAACTTTGATAGAAGTTAATAAAATGTGAATCCCATAAAATATGTAGTTAAAATTAATTGTTGATTTGACTAAGTTTAAAATCTAAATTTTAATCCAGAAAAATAAAACAAGCTCTGGCCTCTTATATATGCACCCATCAACAGCAAAAAGAACCTCCTTCCAAAGCCATACTATGATGTATGTTAACTAAACACAACTGGACATGTTCAGTCACACCAATCTTGACATAAATGCACATTAGACTATTGCCTAACACCATCAGGAGCCAGCTACAGAAGATAAAATCACTACGAGAGAAGTAGCAGATATTTAGAAGAGGAATGAAAAGTGTAAACTAAAACATATTAGAACTGAAAGTTAATGAACCATGAAAAAACACAAGAATTTGGATAATGAAATGCGATGCATGTAGCCTGCAGCAGTTAGATGTAGAAAAACAAATCTCATCTCTCAAATGTAAGTATTCGCAGCAACAAAATTATAGGACAAAGCCCTAAGACATCCTCTGAGCAGCCTCCTTGGCAAGAATCTTTTCTTTCGCCTTCGCCTTAGCTTGGGATTTTGAGCCCATAACTCCACCTCCCCACTTCTTCCTAGTCTCGTCATATTTATCATTGAAGTTCGCCTAAAATTAACAGTGGGAATATTATCACTGGATTGCCCCTTAAATTTAAATGTCACTACATATGGAGAATAACCACAAAAATGCTTGCAGAGGTACTTGGATTCCTAGAATATAAATAACACACTACCTTAATAGCCTCCAAAATCTTGCTGAACTCCAACTTGTCTTCATTCTTTACTGAGGTCAAGCACAAGGCCGATGCTGTCTTCTTATGGACAATCTGCAAGGTGGCATAAATAAACAATTTATATTGATCTCAAATTTCAAACCATTATTACTAGGACATTATTTGACCAATAGATGAGTCCACTTACAGTTCCCAATCTTGCCCTTCCCTTTACAATGCAATAAGGGATTTCCATCTTCCTGCACAATGCTGGAAGCCACACAACCAACTCAATGGGGTCCACATCATGAGCGATCACCACCAGTTGTGCTTTGTTCTGCAAGAAAATTTTGATTAGAGAAGTGACCAGGATAAACCCCAAGAAACCACTCATTGACTACAAATGTAGAGAAGATAACCTGCTCAATCAGATAGGTGATATGGTTGAGACCATACTTCACAATTATAGGCTTCTTAACCTCGGGAGTTTTGCCTTCTGCCTCAGCCTGAGCTCTTTTCAGAAGGCGCTCTTTCTTTTCAGCTCTATCCTCAGGCCTGTATTTGAGAAGCATCTTGAACAGACTCGTTGCTGTACACTTACAGTGGATGTAATGAATATTAAGTGTCCAGGAAGAAATTTCTAGTAGAACAAGAACAATTACTTTCGCATTAAAACCTGTTTAACCAACCTAAATTACAAACAAAAGACTCTTGAATTAGCATAAATATAACATGGTTTGGACAGACCATTGTTGAACTGTTGATTTTAAACACATACGCAACATCAAGCAGATTAACAACTTCAATTCACTTTTTCTGTTTTCAAGAAGAAAAACTCCAATTTGTCTAAAGAGCTAAAAACTGATTGGGTGTGCACAGATTTTCATACTTAAGCAATATAACCAGATATCAATAAAATATCCATAAACACAGCGTTTGCACCATTTAAAAGTACCACCGGACACCAGCAATTTGCTCATCTCTTTGCACAACTGCCTCATTAAATTTGACAAGACAATCAAAATTTTGGGCAGTTTCTGATAAGCATGTGACATGTACACGGACAACAATAAATAGTAGTACCAGGAGACAAACCCATCACAAATTCAGACATAGCACCATCTCAAGGATCATAAATTTCCAAATTAATATACAATGACATGAGCAGGGCTCACTAGGTCTGAATTCAGAAAAACAGATCATAGGTCAGAATTTAGATGGAACAAAAGCTATAAAACTAGATAAAGAAAACAAAAGAAATGGAGTAAATAGAACAGCAGATTAATCAGTGGAAAAAGAATACAAACCTACACAACATACATTGAATCGGCATACTTTAATGTAAGCATGTCAGAAGCAATAAAAACAATAAATATTATCAACAAACAGCGAACAAAATGAAATGAAAAAACAAATACGATTATAAAAATTTAAAGATCTTAAACAGACCAAGGTTCTTATCCAAGGTTTTGGAGAACTGGTGGATTGGTGGAGGCACCTTGAGGCGCTGCTTCAATATCATCTTCTTCCTTTGGATTCGAACAACCTGCGGCCATTTAACGAAGCGGTGAAGATCCTTCTTCGGCGGTAGAGCTCCGCCAATTCCAAACTGCTTCGGTCGCTTCTCGAACAGCGGATTCACCACCTTCTCTGCCTTCTTCTTTGCCGGAAGCTTTGCGCCCTTCTTTGGAGCCTACAAATATTATTTAAAGAAAAAACACATCGGAGTGAAAAAATTGTATAGCAATGAAAATCAAGACTGGAATATTCAAATGAAAATATTGATCGCCTACCATTTTTCTCCGATTGGTTAACTGGAATTAGAAAGGCGCAGGCAATGCTAAAACCCTGACCTGCCTCACGCCCAACCACCCACGCACAAGCACAACTAGGGTTTTAATACGTGAAAATAACAGCCCACCATAATTTTTAAAAATTGATTTCGAATATAAAATATTATGTTTATTATTTACATATATAAATAATAAATAAATATAAAGTAGGTATGTATTTACCTTATTTGAATTCCGTGTATCTTGTAACTCAAATATATATAAAATTCTCCACATTAAACCTCCACAAAATCCACGAAAACCTATTATCTTCTTCCACTTCACGCGGTTTTCACCATTCTTTTCAAACCAACAAAACCCACTATCTTCTTCCATTTCACCCACAAACTGAATGGCGGTTTTCACATTTCTTTTCCAAAGACACTGGATATTGAGTGGTTTTCACGATTCTTTTCAAGAAAAAAAACACCAAACATTGAACCCACAAAACTCACTATCTTCTTCCATTTCAAAAAACACCAGACATTGAAAATAGTTTTAACAAGGGGCAATGATCCCAAAAGTCGAGATAAGATGGGTAAAAAATCTAGAACAAAAAGTAGAGAAAAGAAAAATGATGAAAGGAACTAAAGATTCAAAACCCGAAACTCGCAGAACCCCACTAAAATCGCGAAAGGTAAATTCATCTTAATCTGATTTTGTTATTTGAAAATGCATATTTAACATATGTTGGGTGTGAATTGTTTGGGTATTCGCACAATATTATAATTTGTGACCTCATTTTGTGAAAAATCTTATTGGAGCATATGTTGTGGTAAATTTGTTTGAAAAGTTAA